GCTCAAGACTTTTTGAAGAGGCACGCCAGCTCAGAGGACGAGGCAGAACTCGCTAAGTGGATGGCAGGAACTAGCGAAGAAGACAGCAGCTCGGAGGGAGAGGTGAAAGATGAGGAAGACAAAGGAGCGGCTAGAGGGCCAAAATACAATTTAAGAGACAAAAAAGGGAAGCACCCCAACGTTTGAGAACTAGTTCGGAAAGCGCAATAAAAGATAATACTAACCCCAAGGGGACACTATTAACACACTAACTAACCGGTTTTGAAAGATATAGAAGAAAAAGGGATTGTCCAGCTGCAGAAGAAGATTTTGACTTTGACTTTAATAATAAAAGATTAATATACTAATGTTTAACATCACTCAACACTTTTCTTTACCCCTCTATATACCCTTCCTAACTTTCTGAAATGTAAAAGCAATAAAATCTCTCCTTTTTAGGAGAGGGAAATTAAAAAAAAAAGAATTATGCAACACACAAAAAATGCAACTCTGCAGCTTTAAAAGATATATATGGTCCTGTTCGGATGAAGACTACGAAACGACTTCATAATCCGGAAAACTTAGTTAACTTCACTGTTTGGCCCTCTTCTTGCACTTTTTAATGATTTTGGATGTTTTTCCAAATAAATACATTTTCTGCAATTTTTGATTTTGTTAGTATTACTTAGCGGATACACACACAGCTTTCGTTGTTCTTCTTCATTGTTACTACAGCTATGGTTCTCTGTTTTTGTACAGCAACAAAAAGGAACAGGGATGAAATGGCAGTTCAGGATCATTATCTAAAACACACACACAAGCTCAGAATCTCAGATAACCACAACCGAGCACTGGGGAAATGGCCAAATAATTAACACTTTCACCATTTCAAAAGCAAAGAATCCCATGACACAAGGAGTCCTGTGACACCTTATAGAACCCACTGGATCACAAGGCTCTAGACAGGGCTCACTTCCCAGGCACTGGCTAGCCAGTCAATGGTCCTTTCTGCACTAGACCTTAAATCCTGGTTCAACCCTGTCCCCGAACTTACATTCTACACTACACGCGAGTACACCCGTTAATTATCTCGGGGCATTTTTTGTTTCCACATTACATTGAGGTCACCTCGGTTTCGCCCCACACTTGTCCTGGGATAACCAGGGATAAATGCAAGGTATTGCGTCGCAAGTTGAACTCTGATAAAACCAGGGGTGAGATCCGAGTGCAGAAAGGACCAGAATGATCCATTCACAGCTGGTGATGCGCTGGCTGAGCAAGACTTGCCATCTGTAAAAACTTCCAGAAGCGGCACAGTTCTGACAGCCAAACCTGACGGTGTCAAATCTGCAGAGTCTCTCTTTGGAACAATTTTTTTGTGCTTCAAACGGAAGGGATAGTAGGTCAGACGGTGCTATTTAAAAACCTGCTGCTCTCTCAGGAGGTTTATCCATAGATGCAAATGCGTGGTCAGCGTAAAGGAGGGTGGAAATTCACAGGCATATCACTTTTCCAATATTTAGCTCACAGAAGCGGAGAACCATTCATGAGACGTTTTCTGTAATATATGATTTCGTTTAAAGGCAGAACTCTCAGCCTCCAATCTGTCCTGGCGGGGGGTCCAGCGGCAGCATTGTGGGAGGAGAGTCAGGGAAGGATACTGTGCCCTCCTCCTGCCCACGCCTTCTCCCCTAGACACCCGGATACTCCCGGGGCCACTTTGCAAAGGGGGGAACCAGGGCTTTGAAGAAACACATTCTTTGTAGTTCTACCCTAACTGGTTATAGAAATGAACGCCTTTATTGCACTCTTTTTTTTTAACAGAAAGTGACTGCCGGGGGAGCTCATTATTCAGAACCGCGCTGTGTGGTAGATGTCTAAGCTGCCTTGAAAAGACTACAAAGGCTTTAAAGAAGCTGGTAAATTACAGATCACAGGAGTCCGGAACATCTGGGATGGATGATTACCTCAGAGGGTGGTAGCGGGAAACTATGTCTTGAGGTCTTCGGCGGCCCACTTTCAGTACCCTCAACCACAGCATTCTTCTCAATAGACTGGCAGGGTAGGGAGCTGAAGGCGCTCTGGGCCAGAGAATTTGTTCCTATCTGGTGGCACTGGGGGATTATGCCCCCCCCCCCGTGGCTTTTACACTACAGACTTCTGCAGGATTCCATGTTGTCACCCAAAGTGGCTGATTCTGCATTGGCTTTAAACAGCTGAGCCGCACAAACTGCTCCCAAGCTCAGCTGTTTGAAAGGGGCTTTCTTGGATTCAGCTCCGAGCCATTTAAACCAAACTGCTGAGCTTTCTGCTCCCTGTAGAAAACTAGAGCACAGAAAGCAGTGGTTTAAATGGCTCCCAGCCATTTAAACCAAATAGCTGAGTGGCGGAGTGCAACGCCGCTGTTTGGTTTAAATGGCCTGGAGCTATTTAAATTCCTGTTTTCTGCTCCCTGCGAAAAGCGGCAAGGAGCAGAAAGCAGGGGTCACGAACTTGTACAAACTGGTTCAGTTCACGAACCAACCTCCTCGTTCATATAGGTTTGTGGTTCAGCCACAAACTGAACCACAAAAATGTTGTTCATGCTCATCCATAATCGACAGTATCCATCAATCACCACGATGTCCAGCTGCATCTGGAAATTTCTACTGGTCCAGAATATGGTGACCAAGCAGTTAACAAGAACTTACTGCAACTGAGCATATTTTCTCAGCTGTCAGTGATCTTGAATGAAGAATGATCCATTTATTTCCAGGCACAGTGCTGGAATTGATCCTGAAACAGTCTAGGATTGGCGTATCTGCAGAAGCACCTTCCCTCGAATGAACCTGTCTGTTGATGTCAACTCACATCAGCTCCAAAGGCCGTTCTCTGGGGACCCTGGCCTTTACAAGTGTGTGTGTGTAGTGTCAACTGGAAACAGAACCTTGTGCCTCCTCCTTCCATGGAAGAGTAATTTGGCACCATCTGTGTCATGTGTCATGTCCAGCTATTATTGAATAAATCCTCCCTCCCACAGACCAGTCTAACAATGCTTCATAAATTATGTTCTGCTGCCGTGGAGTAAAACTGGTACCACAGCCAGCACATTTGGTCACTGCTGCAGATTTTGGTTTGGATTCTTCATATAAGTTTTGTGGCTGCTGTTTCCATGCTTACCGGACAATTTTGCCATTATGAATTTGCAAGCGGCCTCGAATACCGTCTTTTGACTTCGAAACAAATGAGTAATCTGACTAGTTAACAAAGTGCAGACCTTCAGCCCTTACCTGTGCCAAATCAGTTCCATGGAATTACTGGTGAAAAATGGCTTTGTGGGTTGCAGCACGTTACATTATCTCAGCACTGTGAAACTGAACTCACGACTATTTATGATAGCTACTAAAACGATGGTAAAATTAGAAACAACAAAAACAAAACCTGATTGCAATTTGGTCTGGAGAGTAAAGGCAGCCAATCCTACCCATGAAAAGAAATTCCTTTCAATGGGAACACACATCTGTTATCGCAGACCCCGGCTCCCCACCACCATCCTGGTGCCAGAAGAGAGATTCAGGGCTTACTGTGATGGCGAGATAATTGTAGTTGACAATGAATAGTAATTGGTCATCAGAAATGTATTGCATGATTTGTGTGACCAGACGAGAGAATCTGCTCTGCATTTGAGAGTATCATGACTTGTTTTCTGAATAGCAAATCATTCTGCATGTAGCAGCCTTGAAATTTGGCTAGCAAATGCAACCTTCTGCAGATTCCATCACACAGGAAGCCCAAAGAAGAGCTGGAATTGAACTGCAGCAGGGCAGGTGCTGAGAGCAAAAAACCTCTCTGCAAAAGCACTTTCTGGGAAGAATACAGGAAATCCACACACCATGAAGCTAGGAAGGACTTGACCGATCCCCAAGCCTAACCTCCTGTCCCCACTTGAGAATTCAGGCCACTCTAACTGAAATTCTTTTGGAATTCCAAGTTCGCGCTGAAATTTCACTTTCGCAAAATCAGGTGGCAATATAGACACGCAACCCACTCCCCAACACACAAACCATTACTGGCTGTATTGGAACTTTCTTTGCTGCCCTCGAAAGTCCTTAGATGTTTATCCTACAGAAGACGCTCTACGTGCAAATAAAACCTGCAGCTTTGTGTTAACCGGACAGTAGGCCTCACTTGTGATCCGTGAATGTGCAGCAATGGCCAGCATTGGCCAGTCCATATGGGATGTGTGCCAAGTCTGGATCAAAGTACGAAACAAGTGCCACTCTAGTATGCCTGGGGGTGAGTGGGCGGGTTGCTTCCAATCTACTGAGCGGAGAACACAGCAGTCCAGAGATGGGAAAGAAGCCTGAATTTCTGCCACAGCTCCGACAACTGTAGGCCTTCTTGCTCCTTTGTGGGGGACACAACCTCAGTGACAGAATCCATGGATCTGTAGCATCATCGACGCTAAAAAAAAGTTACTGAGAATTGAGGGAGTAGCGCCCCTCCTCCTGGTCATGTGAGCGTTTTGGCGGGAAAGCACCAGAGGGAGGAGGGGCACTCCTAGTCTATTAGAAAGCTTGGAAATCTTTTCCGTGGCTGGCCTGCAACTGTGCAGTTTCCATGTGTGCCTGCACAGAAGACCACTTGATGAACAACAGTTACAGGTAAGTGCAACCCTGTTTTACATCATGTGAACAACAGTTACAGGTAAGTGCAACCCTGTTTTACATCCTGGTACCCTCCAGATACTAACAACAACAAAAAGAGCATTCTGTGCCTCAAAATGCTTCCCAAACTGTGATTCAAACATCAATGTTCTCAACGAGTCCAAGATTTTTGTTCCGGAAAATTCCTTCTCATCTTTTCTTTGTTGACCCTCAAGGGGGAGTGCCTGGTCACTTCAATGGCAAATAGGAACCAGCGGTAGTACAAGAGCATTATGAAGCTAAAGCATTTTTGGGAACAAAAAGCATTTCAGGAATCACATTGCAGAGCGAACGTCTCACATCTCACTTAAGAACAGCACCGCATAGGCTAATTACCTTTGAATAGGCAACAATTTTCAACGAAATGGTCGCCAGGTATAAGGAGTTCATTACAAAATCCATCAGGTTCCACCAGTCGTGGATATAATCCTGCAGTCCGCCATCCCACATTTGTTTAATTTCACCCCAGATAAAGCCTGCAAATATATATATAAAAAAACATGTTTAGCCACAACAAGAACATTTTATCCCTGTCAGCCATCCTTTGTGGCATGCCATTCATGTTTCCATAATAACAGAGGCATTCTAAAACTTGTCCCTGAGAGAGTTTCAAAACTCTTCCCCGACTTAGTGCTACGTCCATTTGGTCCAACGGACTTCTGGAGAATATCTCCGTGGCTCGTGCCTTCTTTCTGCCAGCAGCACAATGCTTCTGCTCCGCTTCCCATATCATACAATTTAGATCCATGAACTGCAGTGGATTACCATTTAGGTGCAGGGCCGACCCCGGTTAGTACTTGGATGGAAGACCACCAAGGAAGACTTTGAACACCTCTTGCTTTGAAAACCCCCATGGTTGCTCTGAACATCTCTGAACAGCTGCCTCTGAACATCTCTTGCTTTGAAAACCCCCATGGCCCTGGGTTTGCCATGACTCAGTTGTGACACAACAATTAACCCTGACTTGAATGGTCCAGGCTAGGTGGATCTTGTCAGATCTCAGAAGCTAAGCAGGGTCAGCCCTGGTTAGTACTTGGATGGGAGAACCCCGAGGAAGTCCCGGGCTGCCACTCAGAGGCATGCGATGGCTAACCACCTCTGTTTTTGTCTGGCCTAGAAAAGCCTACAGGTTTGCTATCGGCTGGCTATGACCAATACTCCCTCTAAGCTGTGAGGTCTTGTGAGCAAAAATTCTACTTTGTGATCTACTGGCACTAAAGTTGTGAGTAAGTGGGGACTTCCAGTTGATGGCGGCACGCTTGCGGACTCACCTCTCAGACCTCCCAGGGGTGGCTCCGTGCTCTGGCGGAAGGAGGGGGCGAGCAGGCTCGTAAACCCCCCCATGGGCCCGGTGAAGGGACCCTGGCCAAGGAGCTTTGAGGGGTAGCCTCTTTGATGGTGGAATGACAGAGAATCGAGGCTCCCCTTTGCTCCAGTGGTTCTTCCAGCCGAGAGACCAAATGGTACAAGTGAAGCTAATCGGGTCAAGCGCAGGAGATCGGGCATGAAAAATGATGAAAGAAGCGGGGTCGAAAGACCAACTATGAACGTGAGTCAACTGAGAAACAATTTTTAAAAGAAAAGACGCTCCCTATCCTACGCGGCGGAATGGGAAAAGCGAGCGGGGGAGGGACGCCTCCCATGCGCATAAACTGTTGAGCGAAAGGGGGGGGGAGCGGAAGAAAAACGCGTGAAATTGCCCAGAAGTACTTACCCAATTGAGCTAAGCAGTTAAGTGCATATTGAGAGACTTTAAAAAACTTTGCGAAAGTAAACAAACGGGAAAAAAAGATGGTGGGGAAGAGGGACAGAGACAAAGAGAAACTTTTAAAAACGAAACCAGAGTCCCCGAAGCCAGAAACGACCAGTGAGACGGCAAAGGCTATAGCTGAGTTCATGCACCCTCTACTGGAACAGCTGAATAACTTCAAAGATCAGATGTCCGTGGTAACAACAAATATTACAGCCCAACAAAAGCAGTTGTCCGTGGTAACAACAAGCATTACTGCTCAACAAACGCAAATAACAGATTTGATTCAAGTAATGAAGCAGGATGCTGAGAAAGTAAAGGAAATGGCTGAATCAATGTAGAAAGTGAAGAAGAAAGTGCAAAAATTGGAAAAGAAAACTTCTTCTTTGGAAGATCAAATGCTTCAAGTGCAAATGGATAAGGCCAATATGGTCCTGCGCTTCCAGGGGGTGCCGGAGAACAGAGGAGAGAATCTTAAAGAACTTATGAGTGAGCTACTTGCCCCAGTAACAGATATAAAAGCGAAATTGCTACTCAACGATATGGATGTGGCCTACAGGTCATATTCAGGATACATAAAGAAAAACAATCTGCCTGGGGAAATTGTAGTAAGATTCTCGAAGAGGCATGTTAGGGATGCTATCCTGAAAGCAGTGGCTGCAACACCCCTGAAGGCGGGGGAGAATGCTGTCGGAACGCTAAACGCAGAAATAAAAAGAACTTGTGCTCTTTCTCCAAACAAATTCAATTGGATATAAATGGCTATTTCCAGAAGGCGTAACATTTAAGATTAAAGAGAAGAAGGAAAAGATTGACTCTGTTCTTAAAGCTCAAAAATTTCTAAAGGAACAGCTGGGAAGGTCAGAGGACGAGAAAAAAAGAAGAGGACAGCAGGTCCAGCGGCGAGCTGGAAACTGGTTCATCTGGCGAGGACTCTTTGTCTGAGCAGGGGACAGCAGCCCCGAAAAGTCCCTACAAACTGCGGAAGAGAAGGGAGAAGAAGAAGTAAAGGTTGAAGGACTCTGAATTGTGCCTTTGAGAACTTTGGTTCCTGGGGATGATTGGGGGCACTGTTATTGGGCAGTTAAATGTAAATTGGGAGGGTAAAAAGTTTTAAAAGTTTGACACAGTTCATAAAAAGAACAACGATGAAAAGACTGGATGCATAAAAGCTAGTTGGAGGATCTCCTCTCTTGGGTTTTTAGATAGTAGTGGGTACTTTACTTTCTCCCGTATGTGTAGTTTCCCCCTCCCCTTTTTTCTGTTGTAGTTTTTTGTAGGGATAAAAAATCAATTAAAAATCCCCTTCCGGGGTTTTTTTTTTTTAAAAAGTTGTGAGCAAGTGGATTTGGCTACTGCATAAATCAGTTTGCTTTGAAGCCATCCTTCCTGAGCTAAGACAAAAATGTGTGAGCCGGAGGCTAACAAACTATGAGCTAGCTCACACTAACTCAGTTTAGAGGGAACACTGGCTGGGGCATGACTTGGATGGGGGACCACCAAGTAAGACCAGGGTTGTGATGCAAAGGCAGGCAATGGAACACCACCCCTGAAGGTCTCTTGCCTCGAAAACCCCATGAGAGGATGCCATAAGATGGCTGCAACCTGACGGCCCTTCCCACGACCACCACCATGTAGGCAGAAGGCCACATGGAAGCCAACAGGCTATACCTTTCAGCGAATGGACCTCTTTATGCAAGGATACCAAAAATGTAGCCGCCGTGGCCCCTTTGTCTTTTCTGGCTGAACGAGACTTGAGAAAAACGGCAGAAGGAACCATTTTGTTGTTGGGGACGAATGTTGCTGACCTGGGTCTGTCACAAAGGATGTCTTCCCTTTCAGAAACAGTCGTTCGTGACACAGCAGGCGCCTTCTGGGAGAAGGACTAACTGGGTCTGAGCTTTGCTTGGCAACCATTAGGATGTATTTTAAGCAGAAACAAAATTGTACACTGTGCCCGACATAAGGAGGAAAATAATGATCCTGAAAGGAGCTGACAGTTGAAGCAACCAAACTTTGCCTGGACAGAGCAGGAGGTATTAATTCTAGTATAATTTGGGGATTAAAGAAAACGAATGTAAAAAAAAAAAGCAATTTAATGTACAGGGTAGACAGTCACCGACGACGAATAAGTTCAAGAATTAATGGCTTCTGCTAAGAGAACTGGGGGGGGGGGGGGGGAGAGAGTACTATTCCCACAGCAGAATGCAAACGTATTTTATTTTAGGGACAGAGTCCTAGAATCGCTGAGTCAGAAGGGGGTCATAGAGGCCATCTAGTCCAACCCCCTGCTCAATGCAGGATCAGCCTAGAGCATCCCTGATAACCGTTCGTCCAGCTGCTACTCGAAAACTGCCTGTGATGCATGAAACCTCTCCGGCTGCTTCTGGGGAATGTTCGGTTTTCCCACCGCTTGGTTGTGAACGTCTAGGGAAATCCTTCAGAGTGGCTCCGATAGGCTGAAGGACATATGAAAGGTCCTGCTGGGTCAGACCAATGAGGGTCCATCTAGTCCAGCATCCTGTAACACAGAGTGGAAAACCAGTTCCTCTGGCGGGCCGACAACAGGGCAGAGAGGCTGAGGCCTTCAGAGGTTTACTCCCAACATGGAGGTTCCTTTAGTCTCCATGGTTAGTAATGGCTGCGGTCACGTGAGCCAGTTGAAGCGGAAGGGAAGCGAGGCTATCTCCTCCAGAGGAATTTGACATGCCGTTGCGAGATCACACCTCCCTTTGTAGCTGCGGGCACAGCCCATCTCTGTGTGATCAGACGCAACTGTAGGTGAGTCTTTGTTTTGGCTGTTTGTTTCCCATGCGCATAAACAAGGAACCTGCACACTGAGGGCCCCCTATGGAGTATGCAATGATGTGCATACTGCAAAGAGGGAGAAAAAAAACAGCACCAAGCCAGGACGGCCTGATCAGACCATCCCGACGGCATGAGAAGAAGAGAAGAGATTGGATTTATACCCCGCCCTTCACTACCGAAGGGAGTCTCAGAGCGGCTTACAATCACTTCCCCTCCCCACAACAGACACCCTGTGAGGTAGGTGGGGCTGAGAGAGCTCAGACAGAAACTGCTCTTTTCAAGGACAGCTCTTATCAGAACTATGGCTTGCCCAAGGTCATCCAGCCAAGTGCAAGTGGAGGAGTGGGAGAATCAAACCCGGTTCTCCCAGATTAGAGTCTGCGCACTTAACCACGACACCAAACTGGCTCATGAGAGTGTGCTTGCATGATCAGACGGGAAAGGCCATCCGTGGCCTGTTGAAACCTGTTAGAGCAAGTCTTTCCCCGGTGTCTTTTAACTCCGCTTCTGTGGCAGAGCAGCACGAGTTGCTGACGACTGTGGGACACTTCCCAGATGTTGCTGTCTGATCGCACCCTTTAGATCTGTCACCTGTGTCAGAACTAAAGACGTGTGTCATCACAGCCAGTAGCACATTAAGGCGATGAAGCTGCCTTTTACTTTCAATGCTATATGTAAATGTGGATGCTGTTCACAGTGAGAAGTCAGAGAGATGCCCCTCCTCATTCTTATATCCCGTGGAGCTCATACAAGGGGTTACCCATCTCACTGCTTCTCATGATTTCCTCTACGGAACGTAGAATCAGACCGGAAGTGGGTTTGGAGGAACTGTCCATCCCAACAGAAATGGAAGATCTGAAAGTCAGACCTGAGGGTTTACTGTGGCATTCCTACTTCTATTTATATTCCCCCCATACC